TATTTACGTTTATCTTTAGCCAGCAGTTTTAAATAGGATTCAATGTCGCCCGCTCTGGCCCCAGGGATACATTTAACTATGGCCGCTGGCTTCGCTAACTTCACGTTTCTGACTATGGAGCTGCCAATAACCAGAGTTGGTTCCTCAGCGGGTGTGTCGCTGAGTGGGGAAAATGTATTGGAAACGTGAATGGGTTGGTGGTGAACTGTGGGCTTCGCCGTTTTAGTCTTCCTTCGCTCAGTCACCCAGCCTCCCTGTCTTCCCGGCTGCTCGGGAACTACCGGGGGATCTACAGATCTAACAGAAGCTACCTTCGGTCGGACCACACCGGCTACTGGGGGCTGGCTAACTATAGCGGCTAAAGATATCTCCGTGGTGCGGTACCGTTCCTCTAACTCACTAAGCCTCGCCTCCAGCGCCGTAAATAAACTACATTTAATACAGGTACCATTATCATTAAAGGAGGCAGAGGAATAACTGAACATCTGACACACTGAGCAGGACAGAGGAGAGGGAGAGGGAGAAGCCATAGCTAACTGCTAATGCTAATGAAACTAGCGTGTATGAAAAACTTTGAAAGTAGTGAAAAGTCGCTAAAAGAAGGAGAAACTCCGAGTGCTTAGGTAGAACTAGCCTACGTTTAAATGTTAAGCGGGAAAATAACCGCTGTAACGAGTAAAACAAATTTAGATTTAGCGTTCACTGACAGAGCTACAGCACCAAACAGTGTACACAGAGCAGGAAGTAAACCGGAAATGAGTCTGTACGCTTACCGTAGCACGTCACCTACTACTGGGTGCAGAAAAGCTAGAAGCTCTATGAGGCTGTACATAAATGCTCAATGAAGTATATAAAGTATATAAAGTATAACGCATATAAAGTATATAAAGTATAACATATATAAAGTATATAATGTGTATAAAGTTTAAACTATATAATGTATATAACGTATATAAAGCATAACTTATATAGGCTGTGAGAAGAAGCACTGGTCCATTAACTGTTGGGAACTTAGCTTCGTCCTGAAACGCATCATGGCGCCCATGTTGGCAAGCCGTCCGCCTCGCTCCTTCGCTGTCGCGTCTGTTTTGCTCCTACTACTTTTTGCCTCCCGTTATGTATCCGCTCTGCTGGCATATGATCGCCAAAGCCTCCTCAACCTCAGGGCTTGGTCAGAGACCCTGTTGCCATCTGATCGCCCACTGTTCGACCAGCAAACACCGGTGCTGGCGGATATCCCTGATCACCTGCGCCGACTGCCTACAGTCTCTCCCCGGAGGGACCGCGACCAAAAGTCTTGTTCCAACGGATCCTACGGATCCGAACACCGACACTGGCTGTCGTGCCCACCCCCCCAGAGAAAGTGTTCTAGAAGACGTGGAAAACGCGCCGGTATGATTGCCCGACTTAAAGATCACTTGAGAGCCTCTTCCTTTGCTGAGTCGCGCCTCTGATTTTCCCCCCCTGCCCGGTTTGTATGCAGCCGATGGATCCGTCCTGTCTTCCTGGAGCCATCGCTGATGCTTGCTCCAGCGAATGGACCCGCTACCCTGGCGCAGCTTAAAGCTGGAAGCTTGCCGAGAAAGTTTATTTACATCCAGCCTCCTGACGCTGGACCCGTCTCGTCCGCCTGGTCCGCTGCCCTTCCCGTCGCATCGCGGACACGTCATCAGAGTGCTGCCACCGTGGTAAGGAATATCGCCGGGAACATCGCAAGACTACGGCATGCTGTGTATGATGGAAGGCGAGGAGTGGATTCCAGCCTGCTCTGTCCCATCCAGAGGTCTACTGACCACAAATCCCACATCAAAACTGAACTTTTTAACGCCCAGTCCCTGTCAAATAGATCTAGCCTGATACATGATCATATTCTTGAGAAAGTTATTGACCTGATGTGCCTCACTGAGACCTGGCACCAACCAGAGGTTTTTTCATCATTAAATGAAGCTTGTCCCCCTGGATACAGTTACCTGCAGAGGGCTCGCTGCACTGGTCGAGGTGGTGGCCGGGCAGTAATTTATTGCGACGCTCTCAAGCTGTCTCCTCTGTCTCTACCTGTTATGTCCTCTTTTGAATATCTGGCCTTCAAATCAAAACCCCCCTCCAAGATAAATGCAGTACTGATCTACCGGCCGCCCAAACCTCACCCATCCTTCATTGCAGTGATCCATGACCTCCTCACCTCCTCTCTATCTTCCAATAATATCATACTTGGCGATATGAACATTCACACTGACAATCCCTCCTCCCTGTTGGCAGCTGATTTTCTTAATGTTCTGGACTGTCTCAACCTCACACAGCATGTTGATGCACCTACTCACACCAAGGGGGCGCACTTAAGACCTGGTTATCTCTGACTCTCCTTCCATTAAAAATCTATTGGTATATGGCCTGGGCGTTTCTGATCAAAGCATCATCTCCATGGACGTCTCCTGCCCGTGCCCCCTCCCCAAGCCTAAACATGATATTCATTTTCGCAATATAAAAAACATCAACCCTGCCATCTTGTACTCTGACCTCCAACTGCTGGCCTCAGTCAACCATCCATCAGTCAACAAATCGGTCGAACACTACAACTGTTCTCTTCACTGCCTCCTGGATACACATGCCCCCCTCAAAACAAGAACTGTGTCTTTCTCCCGCACCGCCCCCTGGTTCACGGATGAACTGTGGAAGATGAAGGCTGCTGGCCCTGCCATTGATAGGCGTGTCAAATCATCTGGCCTGGTGGTACACAATCTGGCCTACAAACATCACCAGAAGGCCTACGCAGCAGCCCTTAAAGAAGCCCGGTCTATCACTCCAACATCATCAATAACAGTCCAGGAAATTCCAAACAGCTTTTTTCCACCATAAATCATCTCCTCAATCCCAAAAACCAAACCCATACAGAACCCACAGCAGAACACTGCAACAGGTTTTCTTGTATTTTTCAAAGATAAGATCAATTCCATCCGGTCTCAGCTCTCTGGCTCCCCAGCTCCATCTCTGCCATCTGCCTGCCCACAACCTACTCTCTTCAGCACTTGCACTACAGTCACACAGATCGAAGTCGAGGGTCTCATCAAAAAGATGAAGCCTTCCACCTCCCCCCTGGACCCCCTCCCTACAGCACTCATCAAATCTAACCTGTCTGCCATAAGCCCTCTCATCACACAAATAATAAACCACTCGTTAAGCCCTGGCCATGTCCCACCCCCACTCAAAACTGCTGTTATCAAACCTCTCCTGAAGAAACCAAACCTCGACCCAGAATGCCTCTCCAACTACCGGCCCATCTCCCATCTTCCATTCCTGTCCAAGGTGCTTGAAAAAGCTGTTGCCGCACAGCTACAGGAACGTCATTCACTGTTTGAAATATTCCAATCTGGTTTTCGCACTGCCCATTGTACAGAGACAGCACTGTTGAGGGTAACCAATGACCTTCTCATCTCTGCAGATTCTGGATCCCCCTCCCTGCTCATCCTCTTCGACCTTTCAGCGGCTTTTGACACTGTTGACCACCATATCCTCCTAAGCCGCCTCCACACCGACATTGGTCTCCGTCACTCCACACTGGACTGGTTCACCTCATACCTCGCTGACAGGACAGAGTACGTCAGCCTGGGATCATCCCCCTCTCAACCACAGTTACCAACCTCAGTTCGAAGCTGGACCCACAACTGACCTTTGCAAACACATCAAACATCTGTACAAAACCTGCTTTTTCCATATCAAGAACATTTCAAAACTCCGCCCCTTCCTCACTTTCTCTGACGCAGAAAAACTCGTCCACGCCTTAATCTCCTCCAGGCTTGATTACTGTAACAGCCTGCTCATCGGTATACCCAATAAACACCTTCAGAAACTTCAATTTATTCAGAACTGTGCTGCCCGAACTCTGATGAAAACCCGCAAATACGACCACATCACCCCCATTCTTCAGAACCTCCACTGGCTCCCCATAACCTCAAGAATTCAATACGAGATCGCCCTCATCACCCACCTTGGCATCTACAGCAACGCCCCGCAATACCTAAAAGACCTCCTTACCCCTCACTCATCCACCCATAACCTCCGGTCCCAAAGCACAAACCTCCTCCATCAGCCACGCTCAAGACTCCACACCATGGGAGACCGAGCCTTCTGCTCTGCTGCCCCTCACATCTGGAACTCCCTCCCTGAACATCTGCGAAAACCCCAGTCTGTGGACACTTTTTAAAAAGGGCTTAAAACATTTTTGTTCAGGCAGGCGTTCTTAAGTTGTCCTAAGATTTTTCTAATTTCACTCTGCACTTCAACTCCTCCTTTAGCTGTTTTTCTTAATGTATTTTATCACTTGTATTATTATTGATTACTGACTTAAATGTGTTATTGCCCTTAGTTGTTGTTTTTTTTTTCTTGGTTTCTGTAGCACTTTGAGATTCTTTTATGAAAAGTGCTTTACAAATAAAATGTATTATTATTATTATTATTATTATTATAACGTATATAACTTATATAAAGTATAACGTATATAACGTATATAACGTATAAAGTATATAACGTATAAAGTATATAACGTATATAAAGTATATAACGTATATAAAGTGTAAACATTATTAGAAACACTGAAATGTATCTCTGGTTAAAAAAGAAAGACATCAGTTTTTCTGGAGCTGTAGAAGGAAGTATGGAAGGAGTGAGTCGTCTCACTTTCTGCTCACTTCTGTTGAGAACTGCACATGCTTAGTACCGATCGGGCTCGCAAGACAAGGGCGGCGGGTGAAGACAAAGTTTATCAGCTGAAACGAGCTAAAATACACACAGGGTTCAATAAACTGATCAATGAACCGATCAATGAATTGATCAATGAACTGATCAATAAGGTGTTTGTATTGGGGCATTTCACTCACTGACCAGGAATAAGAGCAGATAAACCAGCAGGATAATGAAGTCTGTCTGTCTGTCTGTCTGCCTGTCCTGCCTGCCTGCCTGCCTGCCTGCCTGCCTGCCTGTCTGCCTGTCTGTCTGTCTACTAGGTCTCCAGTTATTAGCCACGGCCAGTCGGGATCGTCTGATCCACGTCCTGGATGCGGGCCGAGACTACAGTCTGGTCCAGACTCTGGATGAACACTCGTCGTCCATCACTGCCGTCCGATTCGCTGGTCAGTCTCTGTGACCTCTGACCTCTGACCTCTCTCATCCTGTACAGTTAAACTTGTTGGTTTGAACTCTGACATCTTCTTCTTCTTCCTTTCTGTCAGCCAATGAGGGCAAAGTGAGGATGATCAGCTGTGGAGCCGATAAGAGCGTTTACTTCCGAACCGCTCAGCAGGTAGGGCAGCACCTGACTGATGTCACAGAGTACCTCATTATTATTATTATTATTATTATTCTTTATATACTAATATATTCCTCCTCCTCTTCATGTTCCTCCCCTTCTTCCTCCACCTCTTCATGTTCCTCCTCCTCCTCCTCCTCTTCCTGTTCCTCCTCCACCTCTTCATGTTCCTCCTCCTCCTCCTCTTCTTCCTCTTCCTTCTCTTCTTCCTCTTCCTGTTCCTCCTCTTCCTCCTCGTCTTCTTCTTCCTCTTCCTCCTCAATCTCTTAATGTTCCTCCTCCTCCTCCTCCTCCTTCTCTTCTTCCTTTTCCTGTTCCTCCTCCTCCTCCTCCTTCTCTTCTTCCTCTTCCTGTTCCTCCTCTTCCTCCTTGTCTTCTTTTTCTTCCTCTTCCCCCTCCTCCTCCTCTTCCTCCTCCTCCCCCCCCCCCCCTCCTCTTCTTCCTCCTCCTCCCCCTCCTCTTCTTTCTCTTCCTCTTCCTCCTCCTCTTCCTCTTGTTCCTCCTCCTCTTCTTCTACCCCCCTCTTCCTCCTCCCCTCCTCCTCTTCCTCTTCCTCTTCTTCCACCTCCTCTTCCTCTTCCGCCCCTCCTCCTCCTCTCCCTCTTCCTCCTCCTCTTCCTCTTGTTCCTCCTCCTCTTTTTTACCTCCTCTTCCTTCTCTTCCTCTTACCCTCCCCTCCCCCTCCCCCTCCTCTTCTTTCTCCTCCTCCTCCCTTCCTCCTCCTCCTTCTCTTCTTCCTCTTCCTGTTCCTCCTCCTCCTCCTCTTCCTCTTCCCCCTCCTGCTCCTCCTCTTCCCCTTCCTCTTCTACCACCTCCTCCTCTTCTTCTTCTTCCCCCTCCTCCTCCTCTCCCTCTTCCTCCTCCTCTTCCTCTTGTTCCTCCTCCTCTTCTTCTACCTCCTCCTCCTCTTCCTCCACCTCCTCTTCCTCTTGTTCCTGCTCCTCTTCTTTTACCTCTTCTTCCTTCTCTTCCTCTTCCTTCGCCTCCTCTTCCTCCTCCTCCTCTTCTTCTACCCCCTCTTCCTTCTCTTCCTCTTCCTCTTCCCCCTCCTCCTCTTCCTCTTCCTCTTCTTCCACCTCCTCCTCCTCTTCTTCTTCCCCCTCCTCCTCCTCCTCTCCCTCTTCCGACTTTTCATCCTCTTCCTCTCCCTCTTCTTCTACCTCCTCCTCCTCTTCCTCCCCCTCCTCCTTCTCCTCTTCCTCTTCCCCCTCCTCCTCCTCTCCCTCTTCTTCTACCTCCCCCTCCTCCTCCTCCTCCACCTACAGACGGAGGAAGGGTTGGTGTTCACTCGGACACACCATGTGGTGAGGAAGACAACGCTGTATGATATGGATGTGGAACCAACCAGGAAGTACGCAGCAGTGGGCTGTCAGGACCGCAGCATCAGGTACCACACTCACCTGTTTGTGGGCAGGATTACCCAGCATGCTCCAGGGAGTGGATTAGGATTGACAGCCTCTTCCTCCTCTCGATATTGATGATATTGGTGGTATTGATGATGATATTGATGGTATTGATGATAATATTGATGGTACTGATGGTATTGATCCAATCCAATTCAACTTTATTTGTTAAGCACTTTAAAAACAACCAAAGTTGACCAAAGTGCTGTACAGGAGAATAAATAAGACATCATAAATGTAAACAGTGATGGTGATGATGAAGACCACTGTGAGGAATATAAACAGTGATGGCGATAATGCTGGAAAGTTCCCGTGGCAAATAACATGGACGGAGTCCGTCAGCGACAAGCTCGATGTCCGGGCCGCAGATACGCTCTTCCACACAGAGTGCCCGGCGTTACACCACCTGTTGTTTATGAGCACGGACAGTCCCCCTCCTTTCTTCATGCCGGTCGCGTAGGTGTCCCTGTCGGCTCGAACCGTCTGGAAACCGGGAATGGTGACGTTGGAGTCCGGTATCTGCTCGTGTAGCCACGTTTGTAGGGTTTAAACCTCCTCTTCTTCATCCTCCATTTAACCCCCACTCTGCAGCCTCGCCGTCTCCTCAGCTCTTCCGGTATGGAGGGTCTCTCTCCGGTCAGGATGGTACCTCAGGGCGATCATCTGGTCATGGGTGTAAACAATGCGACTCGCCGTCGCCATGGAGACCCGTGCAAACAAAAAATAAAAAATGCTCAAAAATGGCAAAAAGGTATTTAGGCGACGTGAACAAAGTAGTAAGAAAGTAAGAAAACAGTTAAAAATAGCAAAAAACACACTGAAAACACTAAAACTACAACAATAATAGGAGCTGCCATAACAGGCTGCCGTTGTCGCCGGCGCCATTCTGGAATGATGATGGTATTGATGGTATTGATGATAATATTGATGGTATTGATGATAATATTGATGGTACTGATGGTATTGATGGTACTGATGGTATTGATGGTATTGATGGTATTATTGATGGGATTGATGATGATATTGATGGTATTGATGGTATTGATGGTACTGGTTGTATTGATGGTATTGATGATGATATTGATGGTATTGATGGGATTGATGGTATTGATGATGGTATTGATGATGATATTGATGGTATTGATGATAATATTGATGGTACTGATGGTATTGATGGTACTGATGGTATTGATGGTATTGATGGTATTGATGGTATTGATGATGATATTGATGGGATTGATGGGATTGATGATGATATTGATGGTATTGATGATGGTATTGATGGTACTGGTTGTATTGATGGTATTGATGATGATATTGATGGTATTGATGGGATTGATGGTATTGATGATGGTATTGATGATGATATTGATGGTATTGATGATGGTATTGATGATATTGATGGTATTGATGATGGTATTGATGATGAGACCGAACTCTTTAAAACATTATTTACAGAGACCCAACAGTACCACCATGAGCAAGCACTAGGCGACAAGGGCAAGGAAAAACTGCCTGTTAAAAGGCAGAAACCTAGGACAGATCCTTCGGCTCTAGGTGGGTGGTCGTCTGCCTCGACAAGTTGGGGTGAGAGAGAGAGAGAGAGAGAAACAGAGAGACAGACAGACAGACAGGTGCACAGCAACAACAGTATTGGCAATGGCAATCTAGCAGGACCATGGCAGGAGGCTCCACCAGGATCGATAAGAACCTGCAAGACGAGAAAGCACAAGAACTCCGGGGAAGAAGTGAAGTTAGCAACATGCATTTCAATCAAAAATTGACACCATTTATAACAACCTGTCCTCCGCTCCTGCCCCCACAGCCTGCAATCCCACTCCTTCGTCTGCTCCTCCCCCCATCACCTCTCAGCCTCTGTCTCAGTTCTGCCCCGTGTCACCAGAGGAGCTGCCCAAAATCATAACAGGCATGAAAACCTCTACATGTGTCCTGGATCCCATCCCATCTCACCTCATCAAGGACACTTTACCAGCCATCTCCACACTCATCACAGAAATCATCAACTCCTCCCTCAAGTCTGGCTCAGTCCCCCGTTCACTCAAACTGGCTGCTGTCACCCCCATCCTCAAAAAACCTGGACTCAACCCTGACATCATGTCAAACTTTCGGCCCATCTCCAATCTTCCCTTTCTGTCTAAAATACTGGAACGTATTATCGCCACACAACTCAAAACCCACCTCTGCTCAAATGAACTGTTCGAACCATTTTAATCCGGTTTCCGCTCCCAACACAGCACTGAAACAGCCCTCCTGAAAGTCACCAACGGCATCCTCCTCTCCGCTGACTCGGGCCACCTCACCATCCTCATCCTCCTGGACCTCACCGCAGCCTTTGACACCATCAACCATACCATTCTCTTCTCCCGCCTTGAGTCCTCTCTCAGCATCACTGGCACTGCACTCTCCTGGCTCAAATCTTACCTCACAGACCGACAACAATTCATCCATATCAACAACTGCACCTCCTCCACTGTTCCCCTGTCCCAAGGCGTCTCCCAGGGTTCGGTGCTTGGTCCTCTCCTCTTCATACTTTACCTGCTCCCCATTGGCAACATCATTCGCCACCATGGTCTCCACTTCCACTGTTATGCCGATGACGTCCAGCTTTATATCTCTACCAAATCCATCACCCCGGCCACTCTCCAATCCACTCTCTCCAATTGCCTCACCGACATCAAATCCTGGATGCATTCCAACTTCCTCAAACTCAACTGTGACAAATCAGACCTTATCATTATCGGCCCCAAATCCCTCACCAAAACCACAGACAGTTTCCACCTCACCATTGACAACACCACCCTGTCTCCATCCCCCCACAGTCGCAACCTCGGAGTCATCTTTGACAATAACCTCTCCTTTGAACATCACATAAACCGAATCACCAGAACTGCCTTCTTTCATCTCAAGAACATTGCCCGTCTTCGCCCATCACTCTCCTTCTCTGCTGCTGAAACCCTCATCCACGCCTTCATCACCTCCAGAATCGACTACTGCAACAGCATCCTCTATGGCACACCATCCAAAACTCTAAATAAGCTACAGTACATCCAAAACTCCGCTGCACGTATGCTCACCCACACCCGCACCCGTGATCACATCACTCCCGTCCTCCAGAACCTCCACTGGCTCCCAGTTCCACAGTGCATTCAGTTCAAAATCCTCCTCCTTACACACGAAGCCCTTAATAACCAGGCTCCTTCCTACCTCACTGACCTGCTCCATCGCCACAATCCATCCCGGAGCCTCCGCTCATCTGAAGCAAACTTTCTGACTCCTCCACCCCGGACCAAGCACCGAACCTGGGGCGACAGAGCGTTCTCTGTAGCTGCCCCCTCCCTCTGGAACTCTCTCCCCAAACACATCTGTGACTGTACCAACCCTCCAACATTCAAATCACTGACAAAAACTCACCTTTTTGAAATTGCTTTTAATGTTTAGCTTAGTCTGATGTGTTTTTAATGTTTTACTATTTGATGTTGTTTTGCTGCTTTTATGTTTTTATGTAAAGTGTCTTTGAGTATTTAGAAAAGTGCTTATAAATAAAATGTATTATTATTATTATTATTATTATGCATATGGAACATGAATGAGTGCAGAAAGAGAGAGGAAGAGAGGAGCTCAGTGCACCATGGAAAATCCCCCGATAGTCTAGGCCTATAGCAGCATAACTAAGGGATGGTTCAGGACTCACCTGATCCAGCCCTAACTATAAGCTTTATCAAAGAGGAATGTCTTAAGCCTACTCTTGAATGTGGTGAGGGTGTCTGCCTCCCGAACCACAACTGGAAGCTGGTTCCACAGGAGAGGAGCTTGGTAACTGAAGGCTCTGGCTCCTGTTCTACTTTTAGAGACTATAGGAACCACAAGTAGCCCAGCATTCAGAGAACGTGATGTTCTAGTGGGGTAATAGGGTACTATGAGCTCTTTAAGATATGAAGGGGCCTGACCATGAAGAGCTTTATAGGTGAGGAGGAGGATATTAAATTCTATTCTACATTTTACAGGGAGCCAATGCAGAGAAGCTAGTACAGGAGAGATGTGATCTCTTTTTTTTGTTCCTGTCAGTACTCCTGCTGCAGCGTTCTGAATTAATTGGAGCGATTTAATGGTCTTATTGGGGCAACCTGATAAAAAAGAGTTGCAGCAATCCAGCCTTGAAGTAACAAATGCATGGATTAGTTTTTCTGCATCTGTCTGTGATAGTATGTGTCTAATTTTTGTAATATTACGTAAAGGCAAGAAGGCAGTCCTAGAGGTCTGCTTCATGTGGGAGTTAAAAGACAAATCCTGATCAAAGATAACTCCAAGATTCCTGACAGTGGTGCTAGAGGCCAAGGTAATGCCACTAGAGTAACTATATCTTTAGACAGTGAGTCTCTAAGGTTTTTGGGGCCAAGAACAAGAATTTCATTTTTTTCTGAGTTTAACATCAGAAAATTGCAGCTCATCCAGGATTTTATGTCCTTAAGACATGATTGTAATTTAGATAATTGATTGATTTCATCGGGCTTGATCGATAGATATAACTGCGTATCATCTGCATAACAGTGAAAGTTAATGGAGTGATTCCTAATAATGTTGCCTAAAGGGAGCATATATAGAGTAAATAGTATTGGTCCAAGTACAGAACCTTGTGGAACTCCATGACTAACTGTAGTATGACTAACTGTAGTATTTATTGAAGATTCATCGTTAACATGTACAAACTGCGAACGATCTGATAAATATGACTTAAATCAGCTTAGTGCGGTTCCTTTAATGCCAATTTGATGCTCAAGTCTCTGTAAAAGAATATCATGGTCAATGGTGTCAAATGCAGCACTAAGATCTAATAATACAAGTACAGAGACAAGTCCATTGTCAGAAGCAATCAGAAGGTCATTATTAACTTTAACCAGAGCTGTCTCTGTGCTATGATGAACTCTAAATCCTGACTGAAAATCCTCAAATAAACTATTGTTATGTAGAAAGTCACACAACTCTTTGGCGACTACTTTCTCCAGAATCTTAGAGAGGAAGGGGAGGTTAGAAATCGGTCTATAGTTGGCTAAAACCCCTTGGTCAAGAGTGGGCTTTTTAAGAAGGGGTTTAATTACAGCTACTTTGAAGGACTGTGGTACATATCCTGATAATAAAGAAAGATTAATCATATCCAGTAAAGAAGTGTCAGTTGGGATCGGGTCTAATAGACAGGTTGATGGCTTCGATGAAGAAATGATTTGGACTTGGAGAGCCACTGATAACTGTTGATGGCAGTTGGTGATTAATTTTTTCTCTAATAGTAATAATTTTATTGTGGAAGAAGCTCATAAAGTTGTTGCTACTTAAGTTTATGGGGATATGTGGCTCAATAGAGCTGTGACTCTCTGTCAGCCTGGCTACAGTGCTGAAGAGGAACCTAGGGTTATTCGTATTTTCTTCTATTAGTGCTGAATGATAGGCTCCTCTGGCCTTACGGAGGGTCTTTCTATAAGTTTTAAGATTATCTTGCCAAATTGAGCAATATTCTGATAATTTGGAAGAGCGCCATTTCCTTTCAGATTTCCTAGCTATTTGCTTTAACTGGTGGGTTTGGTGTTTATACCAAGGTGCTAGTCTTCTATTATATATATATTCCTTTTTATAGGAGTGATGGTCTAATGTTGATCGTAGTGAGCCTGCAGCACTATCGTCAAGATTATCAATTTCAGAGGGACTAATTGATGGTATTGATGATGGTATTGATGGTATTGATGGTACTGATGATGGTATTGATGGTATTGATGACGGTATTGATGGTATTAACGGTATTGATGATGGTATTGATTATTAGGGACCGAGCCAGCGACCGCTGGAGGTCCCTATTGTTTTTGCTTGATTTCTTCTTCTTACCTATTATTATTTTTAGCCCCCTTTGACTGCATTTTTGCCCCCCTGAAGATATACGAAAACTCAATTTTATTTGGCAAAGTTATCAGGCCTGGTGAGAATGGGGATATTCTATGCGTCGCTTTCGGGTTGGCCACTAGGTGGCGCTACTATCATAAAAAATGCGTTTAGGCTAATAACTTCTGCATAGTTTGTTGCACATTCAAAAAACTCATATCCACGCTTTCGGTGAATGGAGCTCAATCTCCCCATATAGGCCACGCCCACTTCCGCCTATAATTTTTCTCCGCTAGAACGCGAAATGTCCATAAACTACTTTTCCGTGTTCCCCCCCATGCGCTTCGAGCTTCGTCCGATTCGCACAAAATTTTTCACGTAGCATCTGAGGACCCTCATAATAAAAAAGGATTTTTCATCCAAAAAAGAAGTGGACCATTTCTCCACATTGGTATGTCCGATTGACACAAAACTTGGGTCCATAGTTCCACATGTCTTCCTTAGGCATCGTGCACAATTTCAGGCCATCGCCACAAGGTGGCGCTCTTTAAAATGAAGAAGTTCATATCTCTACAATGGTATGTGTGATTAAGATGAAACTTGGTACGATGCTTCCCCATGGCTCCCTGAGGCTCACTAAAAAATGTGTCAACAATCCGCCACTAGGTGGCAGTCTGGTGGCATGGTAAATCACTGTGCGGAGACCGTAATAGTTATGAATATGAAATTGACAGGGCACGTGTAGAGTGGTGCCTGGTGTACTTCAGCGTACATGATCCAATCTCAATGAAACTTCACGTGTTTGATAACAGTCCCACCCTGAACACGTCTACATGACAATATTCAGACATAGTGATAGCGCCACATACTGGTAACAGGAAGTATCACGTTTTATACTTTAATGTTCTACTCCTCGCAGGATGATCAGATCCAGCTGAAATTTACTTATAAAATGCAAAACACATTGTTGATGATATGTGTTGACTGTGGTGAGGGGGCGTGTCTGTGGGGTGGCGGGAAATTTTGATGGACCACCACAAAACACGAATTCGCTATAACTTGTGTACATTGTCCAATCGGCTCCACACTTCAAATGCTTGATAACAGTCCCGCCCTGAACACGTGCACATGACAATATTCAGACATAGTGATAGTGCCACCTACTGGCAACAGGAAGTAAGCGCTGCGTGGCGATTTTGAGCTGATTAATGGCGATTTTGAGCTGATTAATGGCAGATTTTCATGTTGTGGTCCGCACGTGTTACAACGGCACGCGACGCAGCCGCAGCATGCCCCGAGTTGCGTGGAGTGCGAGGTCCCGCCCAACACTGCTTGCAGCTTTAATTTATTATTATTATTTATATTATTATTTATTTAATAATATATTCCTCTTCCTCTTCCTCTTCCTCCTCCTAACCCTAACCCTTGATGGTGTTGGTGGTATTGATGATGATATTGATGGTATTGATGGTAGTGATGATGATATTGATGGTATTGATGATATTGATGGTATTGATGATGATATTGGTGGTATTGATGATGGTATTGATGATATTGATGGTATGGATGAAATTGATGGTATTGATGATATTGAGGATGGTATTGATGGTATTGATGATATTGAGGATGGTATTGATGGTATTGATGATATTGATGATGGTATTGATGGTATTGATGATGATATTGATGGTATTGATGTTCATCATCATCAGTCACTACTATTAGTGTAGTTGTTGCTACTGTTGTTGCTGTGCAACTGTCTCTCTGTCTCTCTCTCTCTCTCTCAGTCTCACTCTCTCTCTCTCTCACCCCAACTGGTCGAGGCAGACAACCACCCACCTAGAGCCGAAGGGTCTGTCCTAGGTTTCTACCTTTTAACAGGCAGTTTTTCCTTGCCCTTGTCTCCAAGGCCTTGCTCATGGTGGTACTGTTGGGTCTCTGTAAATAATGTTATAAGGAGTTCGGTCTAGACCTGCTCTATTTGGAAAGTGTCCTGAGATAACTTTTGTTATGAATTGGCACTATACAAATAAAATTGAATTGAATTGAATTGAATTGATGGTATTGATGATGATGATGATGGTATTCATGCTGATGATGATGATCCTCTTCCTCCTGCAGGATCTTTAACATCAGTAATGGGAAACAGAAGAAGTTGTATAAAGGCTCTCAGGGTGAAGACGGGACTCTCATTAAGGTAAGTCTAAATCCAATCACAGCCTGTCTGCTGTTACCATGGTAACAATAGCTAACAATGATTCATGACTGCCTCCTCCTCTTCCTCTTCTTCCTCATCCTACTCTTCCTCCTCCTCCTACTCTTCCTCCTTTTCCTCCTCCTACTCTTCCTCCGCTTCCTCTGCCTCTTCCTCCTCCTCCTCCTCCTCCTCCTCCTCTTCTTCTTCCTCCTCCTGTTCCTCTTCCTCAGGTGCAGATCGACCCGTCAGGTCTCTATATCGCTGCCTCCTGTTCAGATAAGAACATCAGTATATTCGACTTCTACTCTGGAGAATGTGTGGCCACGATGTTCGGACACTCTGGTCAGTACCACTGGTTTATATACTGGTTATGTACTGGTTATGTACTGGTTATACTGGTTATACGGGTTATACAGGTTATACAGGTTATGTACAGGTTATATACTGGTTATATACTGGTTATACTGGTTATATACTTGTTATACTGGTTATATACTGGTTATGTACTGGTTATCCTGGTTATACTGGTTACACTGGGTTATATACTGGTTATACTGGGTTATGTAATGGTTATACTGGGTTATATACTGGTTTTGTACAGGTTATATACTGGTTATACTGGTTATACTGGGTTATGTACTGGTTATACTGGGTTATATACTGGTTTATATACCGTCTATATCCGGGTATATATACTGGTTTATATATTGGTTAAACTGGTTTATATACTGGTTAACATACTGGTTTATATACCAGTTTATATACTGGTCATGCTGGTTTATATACTGGTTATACTGGTTTATATACTGGTTATATACTTGTTTATATACTGGTTATACTGGTTTGATTACTGGTTTATATTTTGTTATACTGGTTTATTAATGAATGAATGTCTAATATTTGTGTGTAATGTTTATTTCACACTAACACTGTCTTTTTCTGTCTTTCAGAGATAGTAACAGGTGTGAGGTTCAGCAGTGACTGCAGACACCTGATCACAGTGTCTGGAGACAGGTAACCTCCAAAATAATACATTATATGCATACATTATATACATTAATATTATTTATGTATATAATTTTTTTATTTTTACATTTAGAACACATATTTTAGAAAACTAATGGAGAGTGTGTGTGTGTGTGTGTGTGTGTGTGTGTGTGTGTGTGTGTGCAGCTGTATCTTCGTGTGGCGTCTCAGTCCAGAATTGACCATCAGGATGAGGCAGCGACTTGCTGACCTCCAACCTCCCAGCAGCGCTCAGAACTCCCAGAATGCACCTCAACAAAAAGTAGTAACCCTCAGGTAAACGCTGTGTGTTTGTGAGTGAAACTTTATTGATTACGATGGAAACATTTAATGAGTTTAATGAAGTTTAATGTGACAAAAATATATGTGTATATTTCTTCAGGTTGTCTTTTTGTCCTGTTCCTGTACAGCTGTATCAATAAAGTTTGATTGATTGTGTGTGTGTGTGTGTGTGTGTGTGTGTGTGGCAGCAGCAGCGAAGCCCCTCGAGTCGTCACCATGTCGTCTGATAGTGACAAGGAAGAGGAAGAGGAGGAGGAGGAGCTCAGCTGTCCTTATATGGCCACAGTAGGAAGCCTGGTGGAAGAGACAGGTCTGTTACCATTTCTCAGTCGACATGAGTCACAAAATGCGACTTGTCGTCTAATATACGCGACTGGTATCGACTAATAAAGCATCCTCTAACAGTAAACTAACATTCAGTAAAGAAACTTATTCATCACCTGATTGTGTGTGTGAAAATATATGAATAAAAGATGATCTCAGTGTGAAAAATCTAATTAAAAAAATGTATAATGAAATTTGTTTTTTCCTGCAGAATCGCCTGAAGACAAGTTCAACTCTCTGGACGGCAGCAGGAAGGTTGGTTACCTTTGACCCTGGAAACATAAACACAACTCTAATAAGAGTGTTTCCTGTCTGAGGAGGAAACGTAGAAACAGACGTTAGTGAGTTAAAGCTGGAAACATTAGATAGCATTTAGCTAGTAGTAACGTTAGCAAACAACCAAGCTAATGTTCCGTTACAACCCGTTCAGTCACTGCTGTTCAACACTGATTCACACAGAAACATAACATGATTCTCAGGCTCCTCGCCGTCGCTGGTCCAGGAGGACAGGCAGCACGGAGGACGGTGTTCTGATGGTGAAGTCCATGCTGGACCTGAGACTGCTGGACTCGTTCTGCCCTGACAGACAAGAGGAGGCGGAGCCAGAGGAGGTCAGGATTCTAACAGAACAAAAGCTTTGTGCACAAGGTGAATGCAATCAACCTGACCTTCTGTCCTGCCAACTCAGATAAAGAACCGCCCCCTCGATGTTAGTACCTCCCCTTGCAGCCCGAGGAGGAGGGGACCTGGTGTGGAGGCAGGGCTTCACAGGATCAATCAGGACCTGGGGAGCACCGTCAGTCTGCAGGTCACCACTGCGTGGGTGAGAACACACGCTGCCCAACCTCAAGGTTCACTTACTGCTTTTATCTGGAACTTTTTACACTGTTTCATGGTTTCTCACATGATAACAGGTGGGGTGGGGGGGGCGGTTGTAGCTCCTGTCTAGAAGATAATTTGCCTTCTCTGAAGAAGCCCATGAAATACATTTGAAAATATCCAGAAAATCTCGTAAGTGAACCTTAAATTTAGAACATTTCATTAGGTATTGTGATGAACGCTCTGAGTGGTCGATTTGACGGTGTGTGATCTGATCATCTGTCCAGGCTGAGGGATGACGAGGCGAGGACCAATCAGAGGCCAGACTTCATACAGCTGTCCAATCAGAGCCCAGACAGGGAGGAGCTGGTGCTGTATCCTGACCAATGGGAGGACAGAGTGAGCCTGGCGGGAAGGTAGGACAGAGATTCTGTTTCATTTGGAGATTGACCTGCCCCAGTAAGCCCCGCCCCCTGTAAACCCCGTCCCCTCCCTTCCAGTGAGTTCCAGGTGAAGGAGGCGTGTCCTGTTGCTGCAGGTGGACGTCAGGAAAAACCCAGTCCTGACAGCGGCTGCTCACTTGGATTCAACTCCAGCCTGTCCAGTCCAGTCAAATGTGCAAGAGACGGTGAGACAATGTAGGACTTTTACTGCAGTAACTTGTAACAGAGTATTTTTACAGTGTGGTATTTGTAACTTTACTGCAGTAAAGGATATGAATACTTCCTCCTCCACTGCAGGAGTATAATCAGTCTTCCTGTTCCACTGTCTCTCTTCTCTCCATCATGTCTGTCAGACTCAGAGCCCACAGAGCCTCTGGATGGAAACTGCTCTGAGCTGGAGGAAGATGAGGACGAGGGAGGAAGAGAAGGAGGAGAGGTCAAGGCCTCTCAGGTCATCCCTCAGACTCCAGACCAGGAAGCTTTCCTGAAGGAACACTTTGTCACACTGGCTGACCTCTCAGGTTCAGGTATAGATATTCCTTTCCTTTCCTTTATTCCTTTATTTGTCTCACAATGGGGAAATTCCAATGTTACAGCAGCAAAGTGGATAGAGAAAAAAACAGTATAAAAACAGTAAGAGTAGGAAATAATAAATAAAAACACTGTACAAGAGAAAAAACTCACAACAACAGATAACACAAATAATACAAATAGTAGCAGCAGCAGTTGCACATGGGCAATAGATTGCACAGTGAATATGGAATGGTATTGCACAGTAATTATTATTATTATTGTTATTATTATTGCACAGTAATTATTGCACATTGTTAGTATATATAAATATTATATATAAACATTAATTATTATTATTGATGACGAGATGGGGGGGGGGGTCTACTGGGAGCAGTGCTGGTTGTTATACAGTCTGACAGCAGCAGGAAGGAAGGACCTAAGATATCTATAGATAGATCAATAACTGAACACAGAGAAGATCAATAACTTAACATAGAGTAGATCAATAACTGAATATAGAGTAGATCAATAACTGAATATACAATAGATCAATAACTATAGAATAGATCAATAACTGAATGTAGAGTAGATCAATAGCTGAATATAGAATAGATCAATAACTATAGAATAGATCAATAACTGAATGTAGAGTAGATCAATAGCTGAATATAGAATAGATCAATAACTATAGAGTAGATCAATAACTGAATATAGAATTAATAACTGAATATAGAATAGATCAATAGCTGAATATACAATAGATCAATAACTATAGAGTAGATCAATAACTGAATATAGAATTAATAACTGAATATAGAATAGATCAATAACTATAGAATAGATCAATAACTGAATATAGAGAAGATCAATAACTGAATATAGAATAGATCAATAACTGAATATAGAATAGATTAATAACAGAAAATAGAATAGATCAATAACTGAAAATAGAATAGATGAATAACTGAATACAGAATAGATCAATAACTGAATATAGAATAGATCAATAACTGAATATCAATAACTACAGAATAGATCAATAACTGAATGTAGAATAGATCAATAACTAAATATAGAGTAGATCAATAACTATAGAATAGATCAATAACTGAATATAGAGTAGATCAATAACTAAATATAGAGTAGATCAATAACTATAGAATAGATCAGTAACTATAGAATGGATCAATAACTGAATATAGAATAGACCAATAACTATAGTGAAGATCAATAACTGAATATAGAGTAGATCAGTAACTGAATATAGAATATATAAATAACTAAATATAGAATAGATCAATAACTGAATATAGAATAGATTAATAACAGAAAATAGAATAGATCAATAACTGAATGTAGAGTAGATCAATAACTGAATATAGAATAGATCAATAACTGAATATAGAATAGATCAATAACTGAATATCAATAACTACAGAATAGATCAATAACTGAATATAGAATAGATCAATAACTATAGAATAGATCAATAACTGAATATAGAGAAGATCAATAACTGAATACAGAATAGATCAATAACTGAAAAAAGAATAGATCAATAACTGAATACAGAATAGATCAATAACTGAAAATAGAATAGATCAATAACTGAACATAGAGTAGTTCAATAACTGAATATAGAATAGACCAATAACTATAGAATAGATCAATAACTGAATATAGAATAGATCGATAACTGAATATAGAATAGATCAATAACTATAGAATAGATCAATAACTGAATATTGAGTAGATCAATAACTGAATAGTTACAGATATAATTGGACTTGTGGTAAAGACTGAATATGTTTATCAAACAGCACAAATCAATACATTCTGATCAATATATTGTGTCATTGATTGAATGGTGTGTTAACAGGAAGTCCAAGTAGAGCGTCTCACAGCTCCAGTGAGAGTCTCAGCATCTCCTCCAGGTTCCTGTCCCAGAATGCAACAGGAAGGTAAAAGCTCCGCGTCCTGGTTACAGGTTTATAATCTATAATCCATATTTTAATATCAGCAACTTCTGTTCAACTTATTGATCCCTATCCTAATCAAATGGGCGGGGCTTAACCCAGAGATTGATGATGTTGATCAGAACTTGTGATATTTATTACCAAACGTTATCAAAGTATCGATTACATCTGATAGCTGCTGTTAGCCGGCGGTTAGCCAGTCCGAACCTCCTCCCGGCAGGCGGTCCGAACCTCCTCCCGGCAGGCGGTCCGAACCTACTCCCGGCAGGCGGTCCGAACCTCCTCCCGGCAGGCGGTCCGAACCTCCTCTATAAACCTCTTTTCTGTCCTCCTCAGTCGGACTGTGATTCCTCTTCCATCTCGGTCCACCAGAGGAGGAGGAGGGGAGGTGAAGGCCCGTCCTCTGGTCTCAGAGGTCCGCCCTCTGATGGAGCAGAACCAGAACCGGACCCAAGACAGGAGGGTGTCATGGAACCAGGACCCAACCCAGAACCAGACCCCCTCACTTCAGGACCAGGTACAGTCCCAGAACAGGACCAACCAGGACCAAACACAGCCTCTTCAGGTTGAGAACCAAAGCCAGCAGGGTACACATGAGCTCCAGAGACAGTTGGAGGAGGACGAGACCTCCTCAGCTCAGCAGGCCCACCAGCCCTCCCCACTGAAGAAGAAGGTCCAAACCACGGTGGAGTCCAGGAGGAACCTGGGCCCAACAGCCCGGGCTGCCGCCTCCCATCTGAACTCTTCCTCTGGACTTCGGAAGGCTCAGTCAGTCCAGAATCTGCTGGCCGACGCAGGTAAGACTCAAAACAGACCCAGTCTGACAAGACAGAGTTCAAGACTGGTTTTAAAAGGACACTCTCTCTCTCTCTCTCTCTCTCTCTCTCTTTTTTCTTTCTCTCTCCCTCAGGTGACTCCTCTCTCTCTCAGTTGATCTCTCGTCCGTCCAGGGAGGTTCCCCCTCAGATGCTCCTCCCCCCGCAGCGTCCAACCACACTGCCTTCTTCCCCCAGGCGGCCACCATCAATAGCCCCACCCCTTCAGAGACCCAGCCCCGCCTCCCCCAGGTCCCCCCAGCAGGAGACAGCGATTGCAGCTGCCGTCACCACCCCGAGGAAGTCGTCCTCCTCCTCCTCCTCCTCCTCCACTCCGTTGGCACCGCGCTCCTACATGAGCCCCACCGCCAGCTCCATGGCCAAGATGTCGCGCTCCGTCTCCGTGGGCGACGGCCTCAACATCTCTGAACCTGCCGATGATCCCTCAGTGACATCGTCAGCGGCGGCGGTAACCTCCTCCTCTCAGGTCAAAGAGACTCCACCTCCTCTTGTTGCCGTGGTGCCCTCAAACGCAGCTCTGGCCACGCCTCTGCATGCTGCCGTTGTCCCGGTCGTTGTCGCCTCCTCCTCTTCTTCTTCTTTGGGTAACCATGGTAACCAGGTGGCCCCTCCCCCCCGTGGTCTCCAGGCTCGCGTCCCCGGAAGCAGCAGGCCGCTCCCCGACAAGCCCTCCCTCGCCTCCTTCTCGCCAGCACCCTCCTCCTCGTCTTCCTCACCGCGGCCTCCCCCGGTCTCCATCTCCCCGCTGACTCCCCCTCGCCAGGAGGAGGAGCCTCAGACCGCGGAGCAGAGAGACAACGCAGGTTTGGACTCTCCTCCTCTTCATCCTCTTCATCTTCTTCATCCCTTCATCCTGTCATCTCTCCGTCGGGGCTCCGCCTCTCACTCTGTCCTGACGGGTGAGACTTTCACTCTTCTTCTTCACTCCCTCCATCCTGTCAGATGTACGTTTACAGAAACAACTTTATTGGTAACATATGAAAGACAAACAGTTACAGACTTTCTACATAAAGTACATTTAACATCAGTTACTGAATGAATGATATTCAGTTATACAGAGAAAATACATTTAGTGGAACTTTGTTTATGTATTATTTTATGAGTGCTTCTGAAGGAGAAGATCTTTATCTTTATGTACATGGTGTCACAAACATAAAACAGCCGCTGTGTTGTTTCTTTCTGGTGATGATACGTCACTTTAAATGTGCAAAGCATTGTGGGTCCTAGAGGACGCATTGAACCTTTCCTTAAGATGGCTGCCACTAAAATCCTTCTGTTAGAAAAGAGTGAACTTACCTTCTGCCTCTCTCTGTGCAGACCAGCCAATCAGCGTGGAGACATGCAGAGCTCTGACCAATGAGCTGCAGAGCTGTTTCAAGAGAGCAACACACCTGTACAGGAAGGTGAGTCTGTGCATCCGGTGAGAACCAGAATATTAAACAATACAGTATTTATTGGTGCTGCCCAATGACCAAGAGTCAGTGTGAGAGTTAAACTGCGTTCACCGGGCTAGGAGTCAGTAATCGTTTCAGTATACACGTTATAATCAATACAGTGATATCAGAAACTCATATATAGGTTATAATCAATACAGTGATCAGAAACAGATATATAGGTTATAATCAATACAGTGATATCAGAAACAGATATATAGGTTATAATCAATACAGTGATCAGAAACAGATATATAGGTTATAATCAATACAGTGATATCAGAAACAGATATATAGGTTATAATCAATACAGTGATATCAGAAACAGATATATAGGTTATAATCAATACAATCTAATACTTTGTTTATTTCAGGACGTTTTCACATTTTATTCATTGATTATCTAAAATTATTGATTTTTATATTTTTCTATCTTTAAATGTTTGATTGTAATTAATTATTATTATTAACATTTAAATGATTACTGACGTATTCTCACGGTTCCAACGCGCTGGTGGGGTCCGCCTCCATCAGTGACATCATCAGCAGTGTGTTCTCACCTGTCTCTCCACCAGGTGAGTGGCTCATCCACCGATGACTCCGCCCCCGACCAGCGTCAGATGGCCGTTGTCCTATCAGAGGCCTTCAGGGCCATGAGGGCGGAGCTCGACTGCCTGCCGCTCGGAGTGCCGAGCATGCTGGGAGTGGAGCAGGGGTTGGGGGAGTGGGGGGAGGTGAAGACGGCGGCGCTGCTGGAGGAGTACTCTTTGCTCCTCCTGCAGGCGGTTCACAGGAGGATCAATATAGACAACGCAGAGTAGACGCTACAACAATCCTCCTCTTCCTCAGCTCCTCCTCAGCTCCTCCTCCTCGGCTCTTCCTCCTTGGCTCTTCCTCCTCTCCTCCTCCTCCTCGGCTCTTCCTCCTTGGCTCTTCCTCCTCTCCTCCTCCTCCTCCTCAGATGAAGGACCTGAAGCCATTTTGATTTAGATTCTTTTATTATTTTTTATGCAAGGATCTTAAACAACTCTTTTTACGGAGTTGTTTTTTAAAGATGTTTTTCTTACAGTTTTTTCATTCCCTGAAGTTGTCGGATCGTTTGGATTATTGATCTTTGATTATTGATCTTTGATTATTGTTGTTAACATTAGACTGTAGAGACTTCACCAACAGCAATATGAGATGTTTGATGTACATTTTCTTTCCTGAGTTCACTTGAATCTGAAAGGTCACGGTGAGTTTGAGTGTTTGTATTTATTGTCCGACTACTGAGCGACTGTCTACATGCCGACCTCCATGTTTTTCTAAAATCATGGATTTGAAGTCTTAATGTACATTTTTAGAATTGTCATTAGAGAAACACTTCTAGGGGGTTGTTGGGTAGAAATCTGATTGTTTCTAACAGTTTGTTGTAACACCCACTTTCTCACAAACAATTGGCTCAAAGTTCACTTTCGAATCTTTTCATATTTTTGCTCAAATTAATAAAAATTTTAGACTGATTTTGAGTTCGGAGGTTTTTACGAGAACTTTGTCTTCCAGACTCAGAAACTGTTTGATGAATTTTCTTTTCCAGCTTTGAAAAATAAAATAAATCACTGACATGAACAAAGTGATCCCAGTCAGTTCTTTCGTTCCACTCAGACTGTTTCCCCCATTTTGGTCCTGATCACTGAACATGTTCAGTATGAATCTGTTTACTAATTGGTCAGAAAACAGGAAGCTGTGCTAACAAATGTACTGTAATATTAAAGCTTCTATATGTTACATTAAACTGTAGCTAACAGCGCCACCAGTGGCCGTTCAGTGAACTGCAGTCAGTGTCCTGTTGCATCATCCTGGGCGTCGGCCAACAGAGACAAACACTGAAGGTTGTGAAATAACTGACAATCATATTTAGAATAACGTTACTATCTGCAATGTTCCTATATTTTATTTGGACCATTAGCTTCATGCTACTAACTAGCTCGCTGTTTACAAACCACGCAGCCAAGACACAGCCAGCCGGACAACCCCAGTTAGCCTAGCTACAGTTAGCTAGCTGGATGCCCCTGCCTCATAGTTAGCTTTGTACTGCTACATCATTTATTGTTGGCTAAAATCAGAACTGTTTGTCAGAATACATAAGTTAGTATTATGGGTCACGTTAGCTGGGGAAGCTAACATTAACCAGCCAGCTGCAAACCAGCCATGCTGAATAACGTTACCCAGCAGTAGCTAGCTAGCACTTCACCCATGTTAGCAACCAAGCTAACGTTGATGTGATGTTGGGTGTCGGTCGTTTGTAGACGAATACAAAACCACTAAATGGACCTCAACATGAAAGATCTCAGAAACAATTGTTGGTTAGTTTTTGTTAGAGCCCGACCGATAAAGGATTTTTAAGGCCGATACCGATACAAATATTTGGTGATTTAAAAATCCGATATTCCGATATATCGGCCGATATATATTTAAAAAAGAAAATAAAAACAAAATTATTGCTGCTACAGCCACTACTATTACTACTACTATTATTATTATTATTGACAGTAATAATAAAAAAATCAATGATGATATTATTATTATTATTATTATTATCATCATCATCATCATTTGTATTATTATTAAACCAGACAAAGGTCACTCCTAATGCTGTGGCTCAGAGGCAGAGCAGGTCGTTCCTCAATCGGAAGGTTGTGGGTTCGCTCCCCCCGCTCCTGGTGCCACATGTCGAAGTATCCTTGAGCAAGATACTGAACCCCGAATTGCTCCCGATGCCGTGCATGGGTGTGTGAGTGTGTATGAATGAGTTAGTTTCTGTTCAATGGACTTTGCCATCACTGAGTGAATGTGTGTGAAAGGGTGAATGTGGCACGTAGTGTAAAAGCGCTTTGAGTGGTCGGAAGACTAGAAAGGCACTATACAAATACAGGTCCATTTACCATTTTCAGTCATCATTTGCTGCCTGCCTTCTAAAATGTACTACTTAGTGATGCACTAAATCCATTATGTGACTCGTTAATGCTGCGGCTGAACGACAGTCAGCAATGAACACTTGCGTCATTGGATTTCACACACGTGTAAAAGAAAAGCTAACCTTTATGCACAAGCTTTTTGATACTTTTTCTCTATGTCTAAATGTTCACTCCTCGCATGCCTAACTTATGTTTTACAATGCACAGACTGTAACTACCAGTGATGTGCGGTCAGGAGAGTCATCATGGAAAAAATAAAATATATAATAAACAAATAAATGGTTATATTTATCAAATGGTTTGAATTATAAACAAATTTTCCATTTACCTTAAACTATTTTCATTGTTTCTTATTAAAAATCGCTGAACTATCGCATTTCCGGTTCAGATACGGTGAAGAGACGCACGGTGAGGCAGCAGCAAGCTGTGCCTCACGTTGGATTGTGCAATCCCTCACAAACTGTGCTCTGCCATGCAATGAGAGCGCGTTACTGTCTGTCTGTATGTTGCCAATCAAATGTTTCAAACACTTTTAATATATGCCCCCCTGACTTCCCATAGTTTAGCTGGTGTATATAATATATGAGTGTGACCTGTTTCGTGTGCTCAGCGATCTTACAACGGCAGTGAAGAGGCACTAGGTGTGGCAGGCAGTTCTCTTGCCTCATGGTAGGGGGCACTCGTGAGCCCAGAGATTCTTATGTTTTAGTGAATGAATTAATATCAGATTATGATATTGATTTATTTTGTCTTACTGAGACCTGGTTGTCCCACGAGGAGTATGTTAGCCTAAATGAATCCACCCCAGTCATATTAATACTCACATTCCTCAAGGCACTGGCCGAGGAGGTGGAGTAGCAGCCATATATGATTCGAGCGATTTAATGGACCCTAAACCTAAACTAAATTATAATTCATTTGAAAGCCTTGTTCTTAGTCTTTTTCACCCAAACTGGAAAACAATGCAGCCAGTTCTATTTGTTATAGTGTACCGCGCTCCTGGACCGTACTCTGATTTTATATCTGAATTCTCAGAGTTTTTATCAAGTTTAGTCCTTAAATCAGATAAAGTAATTATTGTAGGTGATTTTAATATTCATGTGGATGTTAACAATGACAGACTTAGTAACGCATTTATATCATTAATAGACTCAATTGGCTTCTGTCAGAGTGTAAATAAACCAACTCATTGTTTTAGTCACACTCTTGACCTTGTTTTATCATATGGCATTGATATTGAACATTTAATAGTCTTCCCACATAATCCTTTCCTATCTGACCATTATTTAATAACTTTTGAATTCATACTATTAGATTATAAGCCATTAGGCAAAACTTCCTACAGCAGATGTCTATCTGACAGTGCTGTAGCTAAATTTAAGGAGGAGATTCCTTCAGTGTTTAATTCAATGCCATGTCTGAATTTAACAGAATCCTATAACAACTTTAGTCCCGAAATTGATAATCTTGTCGATAGTGCTGCAGGCTCACTACGATCAACATTAGATTCTATCGCTCCTATAAAAAGGAAATTATTAAAACATAGGAGACTAGCACCTTGGTATAACCACCAAACCCGCCAGTTAAAGCAAATAGCTAGGAAATCTGAAAGGAAATGGCGCTCTTCTAAATTATCAGAATATCGCTCAATTTGGCAAGATAATCTTAAAACTTATAGAAAGACCCTCCGTAATGCCAGAGGAGCCTATTACTCAGCACTAATAGAAGAAAATAAGAATAACCCTAGGTTCCTCTTCAGCACTGTAGCCAGGCTGACAGAGAGTCACAGCTCTATTGAACCACATATCCCCATAAACTTAAGTAGCAATGACTTCATGAGCTTCTTTTATAATAAAATTATTACTATTAGAGAGAAAATTAATCACCAACTGCTATCAACAGTTATCAGTGGCGCTTCAAGTTCAGGGACTTTTACTAATGTAAACTCAGATATATATTTAGACTGTTTTTCTGCTATCGATCTTCATCAGTTAACTTCAACAATTTCTTCATCGAAGCCATCAACCTGTCTATTAGACCCGATCCCAACTAGGCTGCTTAAAGAAGTTGTTCCCTTAATTGGCACTTCTTTACTGGATATGATTAATCTTTCTTTATTATCAGGATATTTCAATTTCAATTTCAATTTTATTTGTATAGCGCCAATTCATAACAGAAGTGATCTCAGGACACTTTTCAAATAGAGCAGGTCTAGACCGAACTCTTTAAAACATTAATTACAGAGACCCAACAGTACCACCATGAGCAAGCGACAAGGGCAAGGAAAAACTGCCTGTTAAAAGGCAGAAACAGCACGAGTACTGACAGGAACTAGAAAAAGAGATCACATCTCTCCTGTACTAGCTTATCTGCATTGGCTCCCTGTAAAATGTAGAATAGAATTTAAAATCCTCCTCCTCACCTATAAAGCTCTTCATGGTCAGGCCCCTTCATATCTTAAAGAGCTCATAGTACCCTATTACCCCTCTAGAACACTACGTTCTCTGAATGCAGGGCTACTTGTGGTTCCTATAGTCTCTAAAAGTAGAACAGGAGCCAGAGCCTTCAGTTACCAAGCTCCTCTCCTGTGGAACCAGCTTCCAGTTGTGGTTCGGGAGGCAGACACCCTCACCACATTCAAGAGTAGGCTTAAGACATTCCTCTTTGATAAAGCTTATAGTTAGGGCTGGATCAGGTGAGTCCTGAACCATCCCTTAGTTATGCTGCTATAGGCCTAGACTATTGGGGGATTTCCCATGGTGCACTGAGCTCCTCTCTTCCTCTCTCTTTCTGCACTCATTCATGTCCGATTAAAGCATGTTACTAACTTCACTTCTTCCCCGGAGTTCTTATGCTTTCTCGTCTCGAAGGTTCTTATCGATCCTGGTGGAGCCTCCTGCCATGGTCCTGCTAGATTGCCATTACCAATACTGTTGTTGCTGTGCACCTGTCTGTCTGTCTGTCTGTCTCTCTCTCTTCTCTCTCTCTCTCTCTCTCTCTGTCTCTCACCCCAACTGGTCAAGACAGACGGCCACCCACCTAGAGCCGAAGGGTCTGTCCTAGGTTTCTGCCTTTTAACAGGCAGTTTTTCCTTGCCCTTGTCTCCAAGGTCTTGCTCATGGTGGTACTGTTGGGTCTCTGTAATTAATGTTATAAAGAGTTCGGTCTAGACCTGCTCTATTTGAAAAGTGTCCTGAGATAACTTCTGTTATGAATTGGCGCTATACAAATAAAATTGAATTGAATTGAATTATGCTACTCCGCAGCTGCAGAGTAAGTGACACCGAGACTTTTAAAACTGAAAGAAGACATGGAAGACTTCTACAAAAAAGTAACGGACATTTTTCTCCAGAAGGATCGGTGCATCGACTTTATAAGTAAGGGTAAAACCATAATAATGTTTTTTTAAATGAAATGTGCGTCATGTGGGCTACAGGTTGTATGTGTAATGCTGATATGAGATATGAAACATAACCCATTAACCGCTGCCGATCAAATGGTGAATAATCTACTCTGTTGGGTTCATATAATTGTAAATCTGATTCTGAAGAAGTCACTGCCTCACCAGCCATGAACCTCACCGCACATCACTGAAAACTACAGATATGCTAGTTATAAATACAGTAATCAAGTTTGTTGTGGTTTCCAAGCTCATTAATGTTAGCGGTCTTCCATTGATAGCCATGGCATTAGCTAGCTTTGTGGTTAGCTAAAGTCTATAAGCCCGAATTTAGCAATGGATAACGTCATATGATGCTGCAAATGATTGTAAAATAGTTTTTCCAAATAACGGGCCGGGGAGAGATGATACGTCTCATTGCTATAACTGTCACGCTATTAAAGAAATACATCTTCAGTCACATTGTCAAGAGTTAAACCGACAGTCAGTCAACAATACTGTAACAACTAACGTTAGCTAAATCCGTTTCGCTCTCGGCTTACACTTAACCACAGCAACACTGGACGTGGTAGTCATGAATTTAGTCATGCTTATTGAGTTTAGAGAACGGATGGGGATGTTCTTTTCATTGTTATTCAAGGAATGTATGTCTTGTGACAGTTGCCAACTTACCATGAACACGCTGTTTGTGGCGTTCTAAACACGAGTGTTGCCAACAGGGACGTTGTAGAGTGCCCTCTGGTGGACAAACTATGCAACGCCAACAATCATAACATGGTTGAAGGGTGTTTCGTCCGTTTTTATTTTATTTTTTTAAATATTCATTTATCGGCCATTATAAATGCCTACACTGATGGATCGGTCAGGCTCTAGTTTTTGTACGTGATGCTGAAATCCGATTCTGTTCTAAAACTGTTTACTGTTTCTGTTCACACTCTAACAGAAGTTATTCATTAGTTATTCCTGTTTATTAATGTTTGTTTATTAGCCTCAGAGATGTAAAATGACTCATTATTGTCTTCAGAAAGTCCATCAAGTCTCTCACTCTATCAAAACAAAAGTACACTCTTCCAGTCCCAGTTTGACAACTGAAAGGTTAGTTTATTGCTGAGAGGAAGTCTCACTCTTCCTGTGATCCTGGGACTGTCCTGTCAGAGGGGGAACAGCAGGAACCCGGAGAAGACGCTGAAGTTTCGGGAGTCGTCATAGAGCCGGTAGCTGGCCGGCAGACTGAGACGGACTCTGTCGCCCTCCTCCAGCTGCAGAGCCACGCCACTGGACGAGGAGGCGTAGCCACCGTGGTCGTTCAGGTCCAGGTTGAAGATGATTGGCTGGTTGTTCCTGTACAGGTAGAGACCCATGTAACCTTTCAGGTAATCTGCAGCTGTGAAGCTGAAGAAGTAAAGTCCTCTGACAGGAGCTGTGAACACACCTGGCAGACACAGAGCAGGATAATGTTAACACACACCTGACAGACACAGAGCAGGGTAAAGTTAGTTCAGATTTCTTTAAACTATCTTCTTTGTACCAAGCTACACCCACCAACCATAGCTAATGTTAGCTGTGTCTGTGGTGCTAGTTGAGCTAGTTAACGTTACTCTCAACCAAGGATGACGCCATTAACAGCTGTGTGTCGTCCAAACAGAGACACTAGGACACAGGGACTACAGCCAACGGACAACTAGCACGTACGCTCCAGAGGTAATAACTCTCCGTACCAGCAGGTGGCATCAGTCTGCAGAGACCTCTGTGGGTGGAGTACTAACGCTTGATCAACCAGCAGCTGGTTGTGAGACGATCGTGTTTGATGATCAGATGAAAAATGAGACGATCCTTTCGCCATCTTGATGAAGTCATTTGCTGCTTCTTTTTTTTATTGTTTCCTTGTTTTAGTACAACAACATCCAACACTTAAAATATCATGAACATATGGCAGTAGTGAAAATAATAATTAAAATATTAATAATACTTAACCAAAATAAATGAATAAATAAATAAATATAGATGGCAAAAAATTAAAAAATAAAAAATCTTGATGTAGGTTACAGCATACATTCCCAACAACCAATCAGACATTTTTCATTATCTTATTCTCCCACTGCCTCCTCCATATCTCCAACCCTTAACAGTTCCAGAAATATCTTCGAAATGTTGTAAAATTCAGAAGCCCTCTTTCTAACAATATAGGTCAGTTTCTCAAGAGCCAAACTCGATGTTAAGTTATTTAACCAGTGGTTAAAAGAAGGACACCCAACATAATGCTATACAGCGTTTGGCCTGTAGTAAACAAAGGTCAACCATTTTTCTTTCTTTACAAGATAAAGTACAGTCATCTTGATAAATGCCTAAAATACATAACTTAGGGCAAAAAGGTACAGGGGAAGTTGTGATCTGAGAGATATACTTTAACACTGACTTCCAAATTTTTTTTTTGAATCTTTTCTTATTTCCATAAGCAGTGATATAATGTACCCTGGTGACTATTACACTTATAACATAGATCAAGTATATTAGGATCAAATTTATTTAATTGTACAGGGGAGATGTATGTCCGCACTGTCCAATTAAATTGTATCATTCTCAATCGAGTATTGATGGTTTGAGTGTGTGTTTTTAAACATATTTCACTCCATTCAATAAGTGAAATATCTTCTTGTAAGTCACGTATCCACTCCTGTCTTTTACTATCAGAGTTTTCCTTATGGTTTTCCACCAACATGTTATAAAACTGGGAGACCAGTCTTTTACCAAAACTGTTTTTTGTAACGTGTTTCTAAGACGGAGAATGGGGTTGTTGCACTGAATTGTTTAAGTGTGCCAGAATAAAACTTCTAAGTTGTAAATACTTAAAGAAGTGTTTCTGCGGTATATCAAACTTTGCCTTCAACTAATTGAATGACCCTTGTTCCACCATGCTTTAAAACCCATGTCGTTCTTACCCGGGGCGAAGTGTTCATTACCCCAGATTGGGGAGAAACAGGATAACCCAGGACAGTGTCATCCAGTTTTTTTTGTACATCATGCCAAACAAGTTTTTTACAAAAGGATTAGTAGTACTTTTCTTTAATGTTTTTTTTTATTATTATTATTTTGTCTTTAAAGATGCTGAGTATAGATAGCTATTCAATGACAAACCTTTTGAGGACAGTTTTTCAATTTCTAACCAGGGCAAGAAAACATCTTTCGAAAACCAAAACATTGTGGTCTTCAACTGAGCAGCCCAATAATACCATTTTAGATTTGGCAATTGTAGCCCTCCCCTATTAGAAAGAAGCTTTCTGGTCTAAGGAAAAAAAGAAAGAGGAGGGGCCAACTGAATTGACTGAAAAATATATAAAAATGTAGGTAATATAGTCATCTTTACTATGTTTATTCTTCCCAGTAAGGAGAGCGGCAGTGTTGTCCACCTAAGCTAAGATTACTTATCTTTGGAGTTATTCTGATGCCCAAATATTTAAATCCCTCTGTGGCATTCACAAATGGGTGGGATACTACTGGTTTCTTCCTCTCGTTTACATTTAAAAACATAATAGATTACTTTTCTTTGTTTACTTTGAACTCAGAGATACTACCAAATTGATTGAACAACTCCAAGAGAGATGGTATCGGTTCTGCATGATGTGATAAAAACACAATAGTATCATCAGCGTACATTACTGTATTGTGTACCATATCCCCGGTCTTAATGCCATGGATTGAGGGTTGTCATCTAATCGCTATTGCTAAAGGTTCCATGGCTATTACAAATAGTAGAGGTGAAATTGGTGACCCTTGCCTTATGCCTCGAAATAACTCAAAAGGCTGAGAGATGAGGTTATTGGTAGATACCATTGCAGAAGAATCAACAAGTAAAATTTCGACCCATCTACGAAAGTAATCACCAAATCCAAAATGCTTAAGCACCTCGAGTAGATAGGGCCATTCGACTCGGTCGAACGCCTTTTCCGCGTCGAGTGATAGTATTGCAGTATCAGGGGACTCTTCACATTCGTGGATTATATTAAGAACTCTCCTCACATTGTGGAACCCCTGACGATTTTGCACAAAACCATTCTGGTCTCCATGTATAATGGCTGGTAGAACCCTCTGCAGTCTCATAGCTAGAACCTTAGCTATAATCTCTGAATCAGAATTTAAAAATGATATGGGTCTGTAAGAACCGCTTTCGGTTGACACTTTGCCTGGTTTTAGAATAAGAGTGATCAGAGCACTACATAATGAAGCAGGGAGGCATCCTGGTTTAAAGGATTCCAAATAAACATCTAATAACAGGGCTATTAATTTTGCTTTAAATAACTTAATAATCGGAAGCCTGTCTGGACCCAAAGCCTTACCTCCTCTCATGTTTGTAATGGCGTTAGAGATGTCCTTCAAATTTAATTCCCTCTCCAATTCAGTTTTTGTACACTCGGAAATACAGGGAAAGACCAATCCATCCAGGAAACTGTTTTGGTTTACCAGGTCTAGTGGGCTGTCAGATTTATAAAGGGTTTTATAATATGAGAAAAAGGTGCTATTAATTTCTGTGGGATCCGGAGATAATTCTCCTTGTTCGTTCCTAATTATATTAATGCAGTTGTTTGATTCGTATTTATTAAGAAGTAGAAATCAATGTGTTCTCCTACAAATTTTATAAAGTCAGAATCTTGTATCCATTTAGGGTGTAAGCGCCAATTAGCAGAGTGTCTATTCAATTGTTCTACGTTGTAAAATAGTGAGGTTGGGGCATGATCTGACAAAACAATACATCATATTTACAATTAGTTATACTGGGTAGCAGAGATAAGGAAATTAAAAAATAATCTATTCGGGAGTGGGTTTTAAATACTGCTGAGTAGCATGAGAATTCCCTTTTGTTAGGGTTTTGAGTCCTCCACAGATCACAGAGGTTCAGGTCTTTCATATATTGTTGTATTTTCTTTCTTGTTTGAGAATGGGATGTATCCAACCCAGACGAGCGATCAAGGTTCGGGTCTAAAGCACAATTGAAGTCACCTGCCAATATTATCTTACCAGGAAGGGTGGCCATCACAGAAATAAATTCTCAAAAAATTATGGGTTATCATCATTGGGGCCATATACATTAACCAAATTGATATTTTCTTTCAAGAGAGTTCCTTGAACCACCAAAAATCTACCAGCTTTATCATAAATAGTGTTGTTTATTTGGAAAGGCACTGAATTATGAATTAACACCATAACCCCTCTCGAATGAGAAGGGAAACAGGATGCTAGCACTTTGCCTGGCCATCTCCTACATACTTTCACTAGGTCCTCTCTGAGTAAATGAGTCTCTTGGATAAACACTATTGATGACTTAAGTTGTTTAAGCCTGGTAATAACCTGTTTTAGTTTAGCCAACTTTCCATTCCTCTCACATTGCAAGAAATAAATTTAAAATTCTTATTTGAAGTCATCTAATCTTAATAATACAACAGATTGTGCAGCATAGCATCAACTTTTAGTTGTTGGTAAACCTTTTGAGTATCTCTATGTGTTGTATTGGGAATACACCAGCAAAATGCAACATGTTGTGAAAAAAACAAAAACACAAACAAAAAACTTAAAATCTGCCATAATTGCCCTACCCCACCCTCCCCCTGACCGTGGGGTGCAGCTAAGTGCACACACTGATCCAATGTAAACAAGGGAGCAGCTAGACCAAACCGAGCAGTCATATAACAGAACAAAACAAAACTAACAGGACAATTGTGTCCCCTGGCAAAAGTACATAATCTACACAAACAAGTATGAAATGTTCATCATAAACGTTCTTGCAGCTTAACTCTCATCCAGGAAAGCCGACAGTATGGTAAACAACCACTTCTCCAAAAACAAATGAAAGCCCACTTAAAAAGGGCGCGTGGCAGTTTCTCTATGAGGAGTAAATGAAAACCCATTACATCTGAGGAGATTGAAGGAATGGTATGAATGCATGAAATAAGCAAAATAGAAAAGTCTCCACAAAAAAAAAAAGTAATTGAATTAATCCGCAACGTATGTTCATCACTCTCAGCTGTTGTTTTACCCGGTCAAAACCCCTCCTTCGTCGGTGGAGATCCGACGAAAGATCCGGGAAGAACAGATAACTTTACCTTTGGTCCTGGCTGCTCGCATCACTCTTCACTATGAGGACTCTCGGTATGGTTGACAGATTAGGTTGCGTCCGGCCGGCAGCCTGTGCACTCTTTTGATGAGAGGTTGTCTCGGGATTGTCGCTGGTCCCAGCGCTTCGGGGAGCCAGGAAAGCCACCGCATCATTTCCTTCCATCTTCTCCGGCACGTTAACTAGTCGCAGGTTGGATCGACAAGAACGGTTTTCGAGTTCGTCGAGTTTGTTCGTGAAGAGGGTCACTTGTTTAACTAGCGCCTCAGACTTGCCTTTCTCTGAGTTAACGGTGTCCTCTACGCTGCTAGTGTGCACTTCTGCCTCATCCATGCTCGTCAAGAAGTCCCGCACGTCCCTTTTAACGTCCTGAATCGCTTTCAGGACCACATCAATCTTTGTGGAAAAGTGATTTCTGATCCCATCGAGTATCTGAATAACTTCCACGTTGCGGGCCATTCCAGTATCCACATCCACGTGAAGCACAGGGCTAGCATCACCTGTTGAGTTAGCTAGGCTGTTAGCATCTGAAACGTCGTCCTCCTCACTCAGGGAAGAGTGTGCTTATTGTCACGGGTATACAGTAATAAGTTGCCACAAGCAATAGTTATCACTGTTCATGCAGTTAAAGGAAAGTTTACAGGATTTTACTAAAATATCGCCAGCTCACAAAAATACGTGTGCTTAGTTCAGCGCCATAACCACGCCCTCTCCATTTGCTGCTTTTTACAACCATGTCTTAAAGACATAAAATCCTGGATGATGCAATTTTCTGATGTTAAACTCAGAAAAAAACGAAATTCTTGTACTTGGCTCCAAAAACCTTAGAGACTCAGTGTCTAAAGATATAGTTACTCTAGATGGCATTACCTTGGCCTCTAGCACCACTGTCAGGAATCTTGGAGTTATCTTTGATCAGGACATGACATTTAATTCCCACATAAAGCAGATCTCTAGGACTGCCTTCTTTCATTTACATAATATTACAAAAATTAGACACATCCTGTCACAGACAGATGCAGAAAATCTAATCCATGCATTTGTTACTTCTAGGCTGGATTAGCGCAACTCTTTATTATCAGGTTGCCCCAATAAGTCCATTAAAACGCTCCAATTAATTCAGAACGCTGCAGCACGAGTACTGACAGGAACTAGAAAAAGAGATCACATCTCTCCTGTACTAGCTTCTCTGCACTGGCTCCCTGTAAAATGTAGAATAGAATTTAAAATCCTCCTCCTCACCTACAAAGCTCTTCATGGTCAGGACTAGACTATCGGGGGATTTCCCATGATGCACTGAGCTCCTCTCTTCCTCTCTCTCTCTTTCTGCACTCATTCATGTTCCATTACTGCATGTTACTAACTTCACTTCTTTCCCGGAGTTCTTGTGCTTTCTCGTCTCGCAGGTTCTCATGGATCCTGGTGGAGCCTCCTGCCATGGTCCTGCTTGACTGCCATTGCTAATATTACTGTATTACTGTATACTCTTTACTATTGTATTGAGCCCCACCCCCCGAATCAGCCCCCAAGATGCGTAAGGCCGACATGTACAAAAACCGATAGCCATGTGTTTCATGATGATTTCGAACCTTCGCCATGAAAACAGGGAGTTCTCATAACTTCTGTGTTCATGATCCGATCGCAATGAAACTTCACATGTTTGATAAGAGTCTTGCCCTGAACACGTCTGTGATAATATTTACTAATAGTGAGAGCGCTACCTAGTGGCAATAGGAAGTATCACGTTTTATACTTTCATGTTCTACTCCTTGCACGATGATCAGATCCAGCTGAAATTTGATTATAAAATGCAAAACACATTGTTGATGATATGTGATGAATGTGGTGAGTGGGCGTGTCTGTGGCGTGGCAGGAAATTTTGATGTACCACCAGAACACACGCGTTTGCTATAACTTGAGTGTACATTGTCCATTCGGCATTTGTATATCTCCGAGCAGATTGACCAGATCCAGCTGAAATTATGTCAGCCGTCCCTTAGGATGATGACGATGACATCTTTTGATTCTTAATCATTTTCGTGGAACCACGTTGCCATGGCGACATGGTGAAAATCTGCCCCTAAATGGCTTAGCCATGCCCCCCAGAATCAGAAAAAAATGAATTGAATTGAATTGACATCCCTGAGGGACTGTACAGAAACAGAAATGTTTCTTTAAGGGAAAATTTTTACTGATTTGTGTCCTGTTGTAATGATGAATCTTAGAAATGATATTGGAGAGAAGGCGGATTGATATCTCTGTAACCGATAACTCCAAACTCACACCAACACTTTCTAGAAGGATAAACAGCACTAAGAGTAAAAACGCGTTTAAAAGTGAGAAAATACAGCACTCATTAACAAACATAAGAATTATAGATCATTATAATTGATCCTCAGCGATTACTTTTAGTTCAACCTGCAGTTAAAGGAAGTCTTCTGCAGCTGCGTTCAAGGACATCGAATAAACCTTCAGAGTTACTAATAATATTAATTTCTGATAAGCTTCTTTCAGTCAATCAATTTCTTTTTTTAATTTTCACAAGTTTACCTGTGTGTGACTCTGGGACCTGGTTTACCTGCAGTCTGGTTGTAGGCTTGGCCGACGTTGGTGATGGTTTTAGAGAAAATCAGAGTTGTCTCCTCATCAAACGGTCCGACTGATCCAGAATCAGTCAGACCGGCTGAGAATGCCACCTTTAGCTCATCTGGAAGAAAAGGTTTAACTTCAACGTCTCATAACATCGTTTATAGTAGAAACAATAAGAAGATCTTTATTATATTGAGATGACCTAATTATTTTTTATCAAACTCCAACCACATTTTTATCATAAAACTTTTAATACTGAGAATGTCTGCTTCACAGAACATTATAATATTCTTCATTGTGATACAGTAGATTTGTCTATTAATTACGGAGGGCACTTCTGTAAAAATAATTAGAAGGCAATTAGGAACAAAGAACACTTAACCATTTTGTCTTTTACTATTTGGGGTTTTTATTAATTTGGTTTTACAAATGTTCTTTTTTCTGCCACAAACTGCTGATTGCTGTCAGTGCTGTTATCACTTGTCATAAACAGACACGAACAGTGAGTTTAATCACTAAAATGTTCAGTAGTAGAACATACCAAAACACGAGAAAGTTAATTAAAAAAACAAAAACTTACA